TCAGTATGTTATACCATGTGGCATCATTCTTCATATCTTCCCTCTTGTTCATAATATATGACAGGGTTTCAAATTGACCAAGCCAAGTATGTGGAGATCTGCCTTGAACTGGCAAGCTGTTTCAGCTAATCGGCATCCTTCTGCTGGGTTCATGTCTAATCAACAAAGCCTTGGCATCCAACTTGCGCAGCTTAGTCGAGATGCATCTGCTGCTGTGAGTTGCGTTTTATTTTTGGGGATTTGACCATCTTCCTCTTTCTTCTCCCACCCAGTTTTCTATGTTAGTATCCTATTCATTGTGTTGAATTCTTTTTGATGTTTTTGTCAGGGTGCTGCTCGACGCTTGACCACACAGAAGAAAAGTCTTGTGGAGATAGAGTCTGTTGGGGCTTCTGGAAAATCTGATAACAACCGGGTGAAGAAGTACTTTCGACTGGAGGTAGGAAAGATTTCCAATTTAAGCAAAACCTGAAGGTGTGGTCTACGGTGACTTAGAAAGAAATCCAAATTCTCTTCTACAAGTCACATATGTATTTTCAAAGCATTATTGATAGGCATAGTACCTGTAGTACAGAAAGTGCTTCTGTATATGTTGCTTTCTTTGTGATGTGATTTCAAAATTTTTTCTTACTGTTTTAATCTTTCTTCAGTTTTCAGCAAAGTGAAGTTTTAATTTTGCTATGAAGTCAAAACTTAATGTTCATAACTTCATATTTTTGTCTCCATTTACAGTTTTTAGATAAGGAGCTGAAAGATACAGATGATGATTTGGATTTCAGGGCTCTTGAAAATGGATTTGTAAGTTAAAAGCTCATATATACATATTGTTTTTACCCTGGCAGTTGGTGGTCATCATATCATGGAGATTTTGATTGATTCTCTCTAATTTTTGTTCTTAATCCTATATGGACACCTTTAATAAGAGTATTTTTTGGCCACCAGTTTTTAATTGTAGTTAAAGGTTGAAAATATTGTGCACAACCTATTTCTACAACTTTTCTTTACTACTTTCATGTGTCATGAAATGAGTGGATGCATATATCATGGGTCCTGGTAGGATGAAAAGAACCAATTATTAAATGACATATAAGGTTGTGGGTAAACGTTGTACTTCTATGGTTAAATCATATAATTTACATTCGGAGTACAGAACTACCAGAATTTTTATCTCAAATCATCCTATTGCTCCATCGTTCATCACTTCCTCATTTTGTTTCTTCTTTTTTTTTTTTTGGAGTACCAGTCATCCGGTGCTTTAGTTGTCTTAACCTGTTTTATCTTTATTTTTGGGATGATAGATTGCTGTGACTCCTGTGTCACTTTCTCCTCATGCTGAATCCAACATTCAAACGGCTGCATCAGATTGGATCGCTGGAGCACTTTCCAGTGAGCAATTAGATCTCCAGACCAACATAAATTGAAATCAGCGATCTTGTATACAGCTGCAGGAGTGAGATTATGTTAGCCATTAATTGATCTGCCACATCTGCCACATATTCTCTTTTTTTTTTTTCTTCGTTTCTTTCTTTGGTTCCTTAATTTGTATTTCCCTGATGATTTTTTATAGGGGGTTCCAACTTCCAATTCTGTTAAAGTTGGGGTGTGTCTTTGTTCTAGGTGTTGGTACAAATGTAATTGGAAATGGCGGGGTCTGATTCATAATACCCTGTACTTTCCTCCACTTGTTTTGTTTCCTTCTTGTTTGGATTTGTATGTATTTGCCTCTATATTTATAATCTGGCTTTTAGCCATTTGATGGGTGACTAACAATGATTTGTTGACACATATTAATGATTGAACAGGCCGAGTTAGAAGCCACGTGGTCCTAAAGGATGACTTCAGAAATTATGGTCAACATGACCGCTAAATGTGTACATCATATAAAGTACTAACAAAGATAAAGAATTCTCTTTTTCATCTTTGAAAAAAGAAAAACGTTGTTTATAGTTTTCTCAGGAGGATGTCATTTTCAAATTCGAAAGACCTTTCCTAATCTAAT